TTGTAATCACTTTTTTTTTGTTTGAAATAAAAAGGAAAGAAACCCCAGATAAACAAAACTGTACTGAAGAAGAAAAACAAAGGAGGTCTTACAATTATTGATCTCAAAACCTATTACTACACAGCCAGCTAAGTAATCAAAATAACATAGTACTGGTACAACAACAGATATGTAGATCAATTATATAGAATAGAGAATCCAGAAATCATACCATGCCCCTATCGTCAATTGATCTTTGACAAGGATATGAAACTTATTAATAGGGACATGAGTTTACCTCTTTATCCAATGGTGTTTGCAAAAGAGGAGTATCTATCTAAAAAAAACTAAAACTGCATTCACACCTTACACCATATACAAACCTAACTCAAGATAGATCTAGGATCCATGATTAAAACCAAAAACTATAAAGGTCATTGGTCACTGGTCTGTCCATTTGCTGTACAGAGAGAGGTAACTCATGGTTGATGTGATGCTAAACACTGTGATATTGATGTGTCAAATAAGATAATGGTTGCCCATAGTGGACAGTGTTTGGTGGAGCTCCCTAATTAAAACAAGCTTGAAAAAAAGAAGAAAAAAAAAACCCCAAGCTTGGAAACAGGAGTGGCATCCACTTTCGAAATAGCTTACCTCTAGAAACTTTATGAACTTGCGGAAAAACTGACAGTTATATAAGCGCTCAGGCCTTTTGTTTATAGGGTTGCTATGAGTCATCTTGACAACACTTAACAACAACAACGTAAGGATCATTAGAGAAAAATAAAATGGGGAAAATTTAGGAGCATAAATAACCAAATATAGCAAAAAATGCACGACTAGGAGAAGAAAACATTAATAAAGGGGATCCTATAAAAACTAAATGCCACATTCATGAAGAAATTTGAAAATTGTCTTTAACAGACTATCTAAAGTAATTCTTTTTCTTTAAAAATTTGCATCTAAGTATTTTGAGTTAAGATAGAATCAAACTCAATTTGTTTTTTGTTTATTTTGGTTTTGTTTTCTTAGCATTTTAAAATAAAACGTTTATTTTATATTGGATTGCTTGAAAGCTTGTATACATTGCTGTTCATATTGGATCTTTCCCCTTTCCTTCACCCAACCCTCCATCCACCCATCAAATCATGCTACCCTATGATTACCTCACTATGCCTAATCCCCCACCCATCCTCAGTTTTAAAAGGATAGACGGCCACGTTCACCCTCAAATTTCATTTTCCTCCTTTATTGTGGTTACTGTTTTGGTGGTTGTTAGGTGTAATTGAGTTGATTTTAACTTATTACAACAATCCTGTGAACAACATATCAAAGCTTTGCTGTAACTTGAACACTCCTCATACTCTTCACTATGTTCAAAACCACTGTTGAAGTCACCACATCAACCCATCTCAATGGGAGTCTTCCTCTCCTTCATTGACCCTCTACTTTTTCTAGGCATTATGTTTTTTTCCCAAGGACAGGTGTTTCTTGACAACCTGCCTAAAACATTTAAAATCAAGTTTCACCATTCTTGGAATGTTCTAAGGAGCATTCTTGTTACATTTCCTTCAAGACAACTGGAATAGTCCATAGCATAGTCTTCTGCCAACACTACAGTGCAGAGGCATGAATTCTTCTTATTGTTGTTGGATACTGTTGAGTTGGAACTGATCCTTCGTTGACCCTCTGGCAGATTTTCAGAGGCGTTTAATCACACAGGATGACGCTGCCCATCCTTCCCCTGCAGAGCAACTAATGGATTCAAACTACTTGCTTTTGAGAGCTTCTAAATTCTTCTTAGGCCTTTTTTAGTCACTGTTGAACTTTCAGATATATAAGTTGTTGTTGTTGTTGTTGTTGTTGTTGTTGTTGTTATGTGCCGTCGAGTAATTTAAAATAGTATGACTTGAGTCAGGGGTATCCTTGCTCTATAACACTTTAAAACGCCCTTGACAGAAGATTTTTTTTATAGTCTTTAAATGGAACTATCAAATGTGCTTGTTATTATAACTCAGAAAATTAAGGTTAAATACTTACACTTCTCAATTTTTGAAAGGTTATAGAATATGTTTATTTTACTCAATCACTTTGACTATGGTAAAAAAATTGGAAACTAACTTTCTGTCAACTTTTCCAAAACCTGAAAGAAACTTAGTCTATTAGTGGAAAAATTAAGATGATATATCTATGTTTATGTATATATATATATTATATATATACATAATACATATACACACACGTATATATAGACATATAAACAGATAGATATAGATATATTTATGAATATAAATCTATGTATACACATGTTACCGTTATGTGCCATAGAGTTGCCTGCAACTCATAGCAACCCTGTGTGCAACAGCTCTTAAATTCTGCTCTATCGTGAGCCAGTTTCACTTCTTCCGACACACCTAATGCCATTGCCCCAGTTATTGTGTCAATCTACTTCATCCTAGGTCTTCATCTGCTATGCTGTTCCTCTGCCCTTCCAGGCACAATGTCCTTCTCCAAGGACTGGGTTCCTCTTGGCCACGTGCCCAAAGTATGTGAGACAAAGTTTCAAAATCTTTGCCTTCAAGGAGAAACTTGGTTTCACCCTCTCCAAGACAGACTTATTTGTTTTCCTGGCAGTTAATGGTATATTCAGTACTCTTCTCCACAAAAAAAATCCTAGGTTCTAAAATGATTATCCAGCACTAGTAGTTTCAAATCAGTAATACTAACTTTATATTTTTAGAGTTTCCACGTAGAAAATATCAACCCTCAGGTAAAGTATACAAATGTGTTTAGTAATGAACATATTCAGTAATGAATGAATAGGCTTGCTAAAGTGACCATGCTGTGTTTTCTAAAGTATTTTTTCATGCTACCACTGTTGTAGTTATGTGATGTTGAGTCACTTGAAACTCACAGTGACCCAATGTATGGAGCATGGAGCTTTAAAACCTTAGCCTCCAAGGAGAAACTTAGTTTTATCCTCTCCAAGACAGAGTTATTTGTTTCCTTTGTGATTGTGATACATGGTATGGTCAAGACTCTTCTGCAACACCACCACTCAAAGTCATTGATTCTTCTTCTGTCTTCCTTAGTCATTGTCCAGCTTTCTGAGGCATATCAAGCAATTATGAAGACCATAGCTTGAATTAGGCACACCTTAGTCTCCAGACTGACATCATTGCTTCTCAGTAATCTGGAGAGGTCCCTGACAGCAGATTTCGCCAGTGCAATTGATGGTAGTTTTTTTCATTGCTGCCAAGAGTGTTGATTGTGGAGCCAAGCAAGCTCAAATCTCAATCTCTTCTCCATCTATCACAGTGCTGTCAGTGGGCTCAGTGGTGAGAATCTTTTTCTTACTCAAGTTGAGCTTCAAACCACATTGAAGACCACAGTCCTTGACCTTCTGCAGCAAGTGCTTCAGGTCCTCCTCAGTTTCTGCAAGCAAGGTTGTGTCATCTGCATAATGCAAGTTTTTTATAAGTCTTCTGCTAACCCTTATGCCACATTCTTCCTCATAAATCCCAGCCTCCTGAATGATCTGTTCTACATACAGATTGAAAAGATATGGAGACAGGACACATTCCTGATGCACCTTTTTCCTGATTTTGAACCATGCAGTGTTTCCTTGCTCTCTTCTCAGGACTATTTCTTGGTCTAAGTATAGGTTTCACATGAGCACAATGTGAAATACTACCACTGGAATAAGAAATAAAATAAAAAAGAGGACTGAAAAGAGAGGATCAATGTCTGGTATTTTAGCTTCCCTCTTTGAATGTAAGGGGCTGCAGTGGACTGCTCCAGGGTTTTATCCCACCACTTCATCTACGGGAGAAACAAGGGGTACCTCCTCCTGTAGAAATGCACAGCCTTGGAAACCTGATGGACCGTTTTCATGAATCAGAATTTATTTGATGGCAGTGGATTGGTTTCTGGAGTTTGGTGGCACAAAAGAGAACTGTGGTATGATAGTGCTTAACATATTTGACTGATAAACAAAGGGGCAGGAATTCCAATGAACGAAATGCTCTTGGGGTTGGGGGTGGGGAATGAAGTCATATACAGGACAGAACAAATTTCAGATCTTTTGTTCATAGAATTGCTGAGTCAAACTGGACTCAACAGCATCTAACAACAACACTTTCACAAAGATTTTCAAACCTGGAAACTCTAAGAAGCAGTTCTACTCATCCTTAAAGATTGCTATATGTCTTGTTCAGCTTGGCTGCAGTGTGTTGTTTGTTTGTATTTTGGCTTTGCTGGGACAGTAGGAGTCCCAAGAGGATTCTAGGTTTGGCTGCTTATTTAAAGGCAGAAGGTATGAGACACCTGCCACTCTACAAAAGAAAGATTAAGCAATACACTTCTGGAATTATAGCCTTAAAAACTATATGAGACAAGTCTACTCTGTTCAACATATGTCAAACTCAAATCAACCAAATTGGATTTGGTTTTATTTTATTTGGTAGGGTAGTGGTTAAGTGCTGGACTGCTAGCTAAACGAACAGTAGCTTAAAACTCTAAACACAGAGACCTATATACTACATATTTCCATAAGGAAATTCAATCTTGGAAACTCTATAAGGCAGTTCTGGTTACAGTAAGTCAGAACTTATTTCATTGCATTAGATCCAACTTGTTTGTATTTATTTTGGAATTAATTTGCAACTTATAGGAAAACATCTCAAATAGAAAAAGGATAAAATTTATAACCTTTAGAGCATAATATATATTCCTTACCTGGACTCATATATTGTTAATATTTTTCTTCTATTTTTTCATCATTTCTGTCTCTGTTTGCATATGTTATGTGGTGACTATATGACTTCTATTCTAAATAGAATAACTATTCATTTCCTAAAAATACAATTATAAGAAGAAGAAGAAGAAGAAGAGGGAACACATAGAGGATAGGGTCAAGATTAAACACAACAGTATAAGAATCTGAAGAATAGTATTAACATAAGATCCTAAAATCTTGGTAAGTCACAAGAATAATAAGCAATTGTTATTACCAAAATTCCCTACTTTAGAGCTTCTTGAAAGACAGTTCCCACATTTATAATTTTTTTCATAGCTCCTGTGACATCTTTATTCCTAAAACTATAGATTATAGGGTTTAGGACAGGAGTGAGGATAGTGTAAAAGAAAGATACTATCATATCCTTATCTGAGGTGTGGTAAGACTTTGGAATCATATAGGTATAGATAGCAGCCCCATAAAATAGGATGACCAGAGTCATATGAGAGGAACAAGTGGTAAAGGCCTTCTTCTGACCCTCTGCTGATTTCATCCTTTGGATGGTGAGAAGAATGAAAAAGTAGGAACTTGAAATTATTATCACAGGAATTAAGATCATGAAAACACAGCAGAAGTACATGACTGTCTCAAAGACCGAGGTGTCAGAGCAAGAGAGCTTCATTACAGCAGGGACCTCACAGAAGAAGTGATGAATCTCCCTGGACCTGCAGAATGGAAAGCTCATGGTGATGGAAGTGAGCATGAAACCATCCATTAAGCCCAGGAGCCAGCAGCCAGAAGCCAGGAGGAGGCATATCTTATAGTTCATAAGAACAGGGTAACGGAGTGGATAGCAGATGGCCACATACCGGTCATAAGCCATAGCAGCTAGTAGGAAAAATTCTGACCCTCCTAGCGTCACATAGAGAAACATTTGTACTCCACATTCAAAGACTGAGATATTTTTGATACCTATGACTTGATCAATAAGCATCTTGGGCACAGTAACAGAAATATATGTCAAGTCCATGAGAGACAACTGGCTGATGAAAAAGTACATTGGAGTGTGGAGGTGGACATTAAAGTGTATTAGGAGGATCAGCATGGTATTTCCAGACAGGGCCATCAGGAAAATAACAAAAATGACCACACAGAGCAGAGCTGAGTCTTTGGTTTGACTGAAGAATCCCAACAGGATGAAATCAAACCCTCTAGTGTTGTTGGCCTGCCACATGGAGTTGTCCATGAGAGTTCACCTAGAACATTACGGAGAACTTTGAGACTAAATAGATTACTTATGTTTCTACCACACACAATTCCAATTGGTGATGGTAACATGTGAAAGTTCCATGGTGCACAAGAAGACTCCAGTGTCGACTTCAGAGTTATAAATCACTTGTCATTTCGTGAATTTTCCATAAAAATGAGTGGTTTAACAACTGCTGGTTGAAAGAATTGATAACTTACCTTGCTGTTACCACAGTTGAGAGAGATGAAGTTATCTTTTATTCACATGTGGTGAAAAATCATTACCCCAAGCAGCACAAAGCATTAAACAAGGAGAAAAAGAGAAAGAGTGAGAAATACAGGGAAAGAAATAAAATTACTTATTTCTAAGATATGTTTGTGATGAAAGATAGAATTTCATTAACTTATCTTGTTAAGGACCCTGCTGGGATCTTACAACTCTAATGGAATGGTTGACCCCCTCAGAGAACATGAGGGAAGTGAGTGAGGGAAACAGACTCTAGCCAGACTGTGTCCTTGCATCCGGCATCCCCTTTACCCTCACTATGACTTCAGTAAATTACTAACCTTTAATTCTTCTCCCCATTGCACACAAAGAAAGAAGAAAAAGAAAATATTTTCTTAATACCTGTTGAGTAAATTTTGTAAAATAATAGCAATATTTAATATATTACCTGGATTTGATCAGCAAACATGTAAAATGTTAGTTCACAGTTTTATTATCTAAGCATACAACAGTTCAGAATTTGTGTAAGAGTTGGGTCTCATTATTTTTGTCTAATGGCCAAAGATAGATAAATCAGTTCTCTAATTTTAATACCATTATCCTATATATCAAAGTTTGAGTCTGTTTAACTTTAGTGTTCACAAAACTTCTTCACTTATTTTATTTATTTCTGACTATGTGCATCTCAATAAGATAATTATATCTTATTTTTCACAACTACAATTTTGAAACAGCTTATGTTTCCACAAATAAAATTCATTCATTAACTTCCCTTTATTTTCTCTAAATCTAAATGGAAAGATACAAACTAGAATGTAGTGGGTCACTGACATTTATTTGACAAAGCTTTAATGATTTTCACAGATACAGTTTAAATACTCCTTACCATCACTTTGTGTGTGTGTGGGTGTGTGTGTGAAGACTAACTTCTGTGCAAAATTTAAAGACAACTCAGTAAGTTGTTCAACATACCTACTATACTATATGTGGTGAAAATGAATTGAAGATGTCATCAGAGCCTGATTCTCATAAAGACCTAAAAGCTGCTGGATGAAATAATGGAGCAGTGGGTAAAGAGAGAGCAGGAAGGGATAGACAGGAGAGATGACAAATCTATCCTGCAGTACGGTAAATAGGATCACTGGCATCAAGCTCTGTTAAATGGTAATGAGGCACCAGTAGAATTAGGAGCACTGTGTCTTATCTTGTATAGTGAAATAGGAAGATATTAAAGTGATGTCAAGAATCTGTAGGATATGAAAGAGCAGAACAATAATATGAGGACTTTGGTTACCCTTTACTCCAGCAGTTCCGTCTACATGCTGACTGAACATCAGATGATGCTCCTGCCTCAGCAGATGGGTAAGACAGTGTGGGCAGGGTTATATTTGTAAAGAAAATTGGTGAGATGACATCACTTTGGATCTTTCTCCAGCCATTAGGAGAATGGATGAAAGTTTCTCTTGATAAATCCCCTCTGGAATACGGCAGAAAAGTAAAACTAAAAGGGCCAGAGAAAGAAATGTTGGTGTTGTTGTTATGTGCCGTCGAGTCATTTGAAACTCATAGCGACCCTATGCACAACAGCCCTAAACCCTGCTCTATCCTGCGCCAACCGCACTGCCTCTGACACACCATCCCGATT